GCTGAAAAAATTCGATAAATGCCTAGTCGGAAACCGGAACATAAAAAACAACTTTTTTTCTATATATTTGCGGAAAACCCCGTAAATTCTTACTATTTTATAAATAAATACTAGTATATTTAAAATAAGTAATTCACCAAGCATGCTCAACCCCATTTTTTCCTTTAATAGTTTATTTATTCAAATTCTGATTTTTGGAATTTTTATAATATATACTCAAAGACCATATTTTCAATTTAATGATTTGTTTTGTAGCTCTAAAGGAGTGCCCTGTGGTGATATAAACTTCTGTTTTTCAAATTAGAACCCATCTTTCTTATTGTAAATTATTTAATGGATTCATTTTCTTTAAATGTTGATATAAGTACCTAATTAAAAATTCGATTGAGTAGTTTCTCAGTTATTCAAATATTTGGATAATATAGTCCTTAAAAATGGCTTTACTGAATATAAATTAGTCATATAATTTGAATATTTGATCTAGTATTTAATATATACGTGGGCCATTTTTACAAATTTTTAATATTGATAGATTAATATTAATGACTACAGTTTTCAAATCACCATTGCTCCTTATCATATAAACCCATTATCATGGACCTTTTATCCTTAGATCACAAACTTAAATAACTCAAAAACTACTCGTACGAATTTTGATTTTAATACAATAATTTCAGAAAAATTATCTACTGTATAATTTATAGTTGAATAGGGGTGTTCTCATTTTAAAAACAGAAGTTTATATCTCCACAGGACACGCCTTAAGTAGTAAAAAAAGTAACAAGAATTTGAAAATAATATGGTCTTAAAATATATTTAAAAATTCCAAAACCAGACTTTTAATAACTGCATTATTGAAGAAAAATAAGGGGGTGAGCATGCTTGGTGAATCACCCTATATGTTTATGCCGTTTAACATAAATATAGTAAAAATAATCAATAAATATTATGAATTGATAACCTTGCCTGATATCAACTAAAAGTACCAACTATTTACTTTTTTGAAATATTATTGACAAAATACAAAAAAACATCATGTCAATCGAGTCGATAATTTCAAAGATTGTCTCGAACAAGCATAGTCCATAAAAGACTTTCTTTTAAATAATATAACATATGTAAAGATGAGAAGAGTACGTGCATGTGCGTGTAAACGAATTGCGCAATACGGTAGAACTGTGGACGTCTGCGTATTATATGTACATAATATAAATATATAATAATATATTATATATTCTACGACTCACGCAAAACGTTCTCAATTTTCCATTACATTGTGCGTTATAACAACATAATATGTATGTATAAGGAGCTCGCACACTTGGATATTCTGCATTTTATGAGACCATCCGGTTTCGACACGTGTAAAGCGTTTACGGCGATTCCGGTTGAAGACAACTACTTCGGCGGGTGTGCTGCAGACGTTCGCCCCAAGATGCTTGTGTTATTACCATGGACGTCGAACGCGTATAATAATATATTATATTAGGTACGTACTATATAGATATATTCGATTTGGTTGAACTCATTTCCGAAACAAGTTACACCGCCGAAACGTTGACAAAGAAAATGTAAAAAAAAAAAAAAATGTAAAAAAAAACAAACACGAAGTACTATTTATATATACAGCCGTTTTAGACGGGTCTATGTATCCTGTACATATTATTACCATAAACGCGTCCGAGAAACGAGGACGAACAATTATTACACTCAAACGTCGCCGCCACGAGATCGATAGTAATTATTATATTGCATATACGCCTATTATAATGTAGGTATTCGACGTAATAAACACCTGCTGCAAAATAGGATATCCGGTCAAATAATAAGATAATCCACAGCCGTCACGTATCCGCGAACACAGATTGAATACAACGCGGAGTAATTGCGTTATATGTATATAAATATTTTATCGTCCAACAATTACGTAATTTGGGTGCATTTCGATTGTGCGAAAATCTCTTCCACTCGACCGCTAGAACTACTCTGCTCTCGAATCGCGTTACGGATATTGCTGATAATAAATATGTATATATATACACGTCTGAACGTCAAAGGAAGGGGTGGAAAGAAATTTCAATCGGACGACTTCGAGAGGATAATATAAGAAAAAGAAGAAAAAAACGTCCGAACAATATAATAATCTCGGAGAACAATGCAGACGAAAATCCGCGATCCGTTGCGCGTTCTCGGGATCCGGTGATTAGACACCGCTCGTTTTTGTGTGTACGGGTGGGCGATATCGCACATAAGTGTACGCAACATAATGTTATTATTATATCTGTGCGTCGAGGAAGTTTCCCGTTTTCCGACGAGGAAAATATTTGCGTTGCGCAACCGCGACGGTTAAAAACTTTACGCAGGCACTATAATAATAATATATAATAAATAATAATAATATACGTAACACCGCGGGTGATCGTTTCGGTCAGAGGAGCCACAGTGTATTATATATATATTTAAACATATTTATAATGTACCGGGTCGATATTTTATCGTTAACCCGGCGTTATAAATCCTATTCAACGCGATTTTGTTATTGTTTTTATTTTTTTCACTTTCGAGGGTAAAAATATTTAAATGAAATCGTGAAAAAACGCGTAGTGTAATATTATATTATTGTGTATTACAGTATTAGTATTACTAAAATAAAAAAGCAAAATGCCCCCGATCAGATACTGCCCGGTTTGCATCACGAGAAGCATTACCCTGTATATTAATATTGTGATGATGACACTAGTGCGGTGTGATTTCGAGTGTGTAATTACTAATTGCATTATTATCATTCGGAGAGTGAAGTATTACGCGGCAAGATAAAACTCGATGGCAGTTTAATGTATGCGTGTTTCGTCCGACTCGGCCACATAATAATATATAATTTCTTAATAGGAAAAGTAACATATATATTTATTTGTACACGATTTACTTATATAGTATGGGTTACCGTAATCCATTATTACGTTAAAATCTGCAAATATATGTCTGTGCTAATATCATATTATGCCAAAAACCATTGGACTGCATTATTCGTTTATTTCAACAGACTGCAGTTTATTCTCAAGAAAGAGAACAATATGCAGATATATTATATAAATTATATAAAAAAATATATTATGTTATACTTGGTTAACCTAGCTTAGGGGACCACTAACCAAATTCATACACAAAATATTTTAATTTCACATTGCTTTTTTTTCAATCATTTGCAGTTTGTGAGTTGTCTGAATAATATGTGTAATGAATAATAGTATATTCAGCTATACTAAAAATGTATGTTTACAAATTTGGAGGATAAATTTAAATGTGGGCCTCGTAATATATTATTTTGAAGGTAAAAAACATAGGTAATAGAAAGTAGAAACAGTTATACTAATATTATAGTAGACCATTTAAGACAGAAATCCCAGGGTACAGTTCAATCTTCAATCATTTATAGTATGTACGTTGCGTTAGGTTAATCGTTAATGGCTAAAATATACGCTGACTTTAATTTCCTACTCTACCTGTCAATCGGCTTGGTACAAAGCAGAATCAGATATAATTCTATTAGATGACTGGTGGTTTTTCAATAATAGTTTAAGAATAAATTATAATAAATCAAAATGTATGCATTTGCTAAGGACTTAAAAACTTCACCTTAGAAAAACGTAATTTCTAAAATTCTAATTACTACGTACATTACACATACATTGCAACACTATCTATAGAAGGGGCTTTTCCAAAATTATTTAAATATTCTAATTCTTGAACAGTACATACATTTATTAGTTTTATTAATTATTCAACATGTAATATGAAATATTTGTATTAAAATCAAAATAATAAAATTAAACAACTAACATCCATTTTTTTTAGTGCAAGAATAATAAGCAATAAACATATTATTTTACTTTATTTCTAATTTTTGATATTTGCATAATTTCACTTGATCTCCGATAAGTGTTTTTAACTTACAATAGAACCAAGGAATATATTTTTCATATTTGTACTCAGGGCTTAAATTCTAAAAAAAAATATCGTTTTTCCGTTTATGGGTATTTAAACGTTATACAATTTTAATGTTTAACGTTATTGTACTTTGAAACGTTATACAATTTTAATGTTTAACGTTGTTGTACTTTGAAACGTTACACAGTTTTAATGTTTAACGTTATTGTACATTGAAACGTTATTTGTTTTTTTCCGTTTAACGTTATTCAATTTTTAAACGTTATTTTAATTTTTCGTTTTTATTAAACGTTATAATTTAAAAACAAATAGGGAATTGTTTTTTGTTTTATAATAAATTCTACTGTTATTTGTGCCATAATTATCCACACTGTTATTTAAGAAATATGAAATTAGTAGAATTTGTTGGCCAGGTTACATAATACATTACTCATTTTCAATCTTCCTAGAGTTTTTAGCAAGGAGCTAACTGATCAAATAGTGTTAATTTAGGTGTTGGTAACTTAAGCAAGCTATAAAGTAATATTTATTACTTACAAAAAATTTAAATACCTATTATAAATTATTCAATTTTTTGTCTAATACTCTGGTCTCTGAGCAATAGAAACAAAGATAAAATGGCATGAATTAGGTAGAAAATGTGTTTAATAAGTTCTAATTATATTACTCCCTTGACTGCTTGAAGTGTGTATACAAAGTAGTATTTAGTTAACCTAAATAGCAGCTTAGACATTTGCAATGTTCAATATAAATTATACGTCATTACTCATTAATATAATAAATTACCAATTAGTGTTGCTATTTGCAATAGGGTAGGTACTAAACTTTTTAGCTCAAAAATGTAATAATAAAAAATACTAAATAGTTGTAATTTACAACTAATATTTTATAGATGTAATGAAGTTGTAATTTGCATCTATAAATTATAATTATTGATGTTTATAAATAACAATATAATGTTTAGTGTATTTTATAAATTTTTATATTCCATAGCAATTATTTAAACAGACTTATATTTAAATAATAAATAAATTATAATATACATTTATAAATTATAAGCTATTTCCTCGTATTATCAAGATGTTTTCCAACATTTGACTGGATAATGAAGATCTTAAGTCTGACAAAATGAACTTAAGTCCTGAGAAACTGCGTTCCACACTCACCTAAAGTGATTAATTAATTAACATTAATATAAGTAATTTAAAAAAAAAAACAATGGTGTTTAATGCTTATTATATAATATATGACCATTTCACTCAATTAATACTTACTACATAGTACCTACATTCATTTAAAACTTTAAAAGCACAAGAACAATTTACCTGAGTAGCTGGTACAGCCATAACAATTTCTGCAAGCTCAAATAACTGAGGCATTTCATTTTTCTTTGCCAACCAATACTGAACCACATTTTCCTTATAATGAACTCTATCAGTATTTGCAAAATCTTCAATTTTTTTTTTTATATCATTAATTGAATTATTGAGGTTAATGCTATTAGCTGTAGATATAGGTTGTGAAGTTGTTCTTATAAACTCTTCAAAATCATCTGTGATGACACTTGTTTCTTTTTCTAAAGAATTAGAATCGTCATCTAGGGCTGCTGGCTCAACCAATTCCTTATTTGAATTCTGAAATCAAATATTTCTAAGTTGAAATTGCATTCTAAAATAATATTATATTTATTGTTACAGTTTATTAATTTAACTTGTTGAAGCTAAATTTGAACAAAGTAATTATGCAAACCATTTACTAAGATTTCTATGAGCTACTTTGAATTAAAATGAATATTGAATATACATCCAATGTATTTTCATAACTGTCTAAATTCAGTTAATTTATTGCATTTTAACATTATTTAGTTTCAATTAAAAGATAAAAATTATCATACATTTTTATTTCTTACTAACCTCTATTGCTATTGCCGTTAACGAAAGGGACTCTTTCAGTGACCATGTTGTAAGCAGATGACTAACAGCTTTTTTTTTAGTAGCAGCATTTAGTAGGCACAAATAACGAGGATCTAAATAAATGGCTGCAAAATAATTAATTATTAAGCAATTTTCTTTATATTTTAAATTTTTAAATTATAAATTTATAAATCATAATAGTTTACTATGTATTACTTTACAAGGTAATAGTTCTAGTAAACTTATCAATCACTTATAAATTATAAATATATTAAGTTGCTACTTGCTAGTAGCAACTTACTACTCACTTGCAATAAAAACATCATTTTCTAATAATTTGTCTTGGCGAATCTTCATAAAATGCAAAACTGATTTTGAAATGGACGTATTGATTAGATTTAATTTATTTTGTGTTTGAATCCAAATTCCATAGAAATCCCCCAGTGTTAAATCTTTTTTTTGTAACAATTTAGTACACAAAAATGCTGGTTGAAGGGATTTTACCTAAGCAAACAACAGTATTAGAAAAAACCATATTAAAATTAGATACCGACAATCGACATGTATAAGTGAGTTAGTAGTATGAATTCATAATTTTTGCTTTGATTACCAAATTATCAATACGATCCCAATCTCGTGTATTTAAAAATAAATCTGTATTAATTAGTTGGTGGTCCGTACAAAAAGGCTTAAGCTCAATTAAACGTAATAACATAAGATATGTAGAATTCCACCTTGTAACTATGTCAAGAATACATAAATTCATATTTTCTTTTTTTAAAAGGGCTGCATATGATTGAGTTCTTAGTACTTTTACAACCTATACAAATAATTTAGTTTAAATTAAAATAGGCATATTGTAAAATTTAAATTATTAACATTTGACTAACTACTTATGCAAAATTGCAAAGTATATAAAAGTATCAATTATGAAATAAAAAAGTTTTATCATATTTACTTTACGTGTTTTAGTTAATAGTTTTTGAATTGAGGGTTCTTTCAGTCCACTTTCAACACACAGTTGAAATGTGTGCACAGAACATCTTATACATTGAGTGATACAATTTACTTCAATATTATTGTTTAGTGCTGTAGCAACCTCATCTTGTAACACATCAACATTGAATGTGATATCTGTTTCTGATACAATTTCATTAATAGCGTTTTCACTCAGATCAGAGTCATCTAAAATGTAATACATGGTAAATAAGTCATAAATTATTAATGGGGAAAAAAGTAGGTAGTTTTCTTTAAAATTATTTCATTTGTATTTAAATTGAAATATTTTATGTACTATGTATATTTTATTTTTATGTGATGATATTAAATAGTACTGTTGTCAATTTTTATTTAATTACCAAGGAAAATATCAACTTCAATGATTCAAAACCATAATATATAAAATAATTAGTACATTTTTTTTAAATAGGCATCTACTCTTACAAATAATTTCTAACAAATATTAATTATTTAACCAACAGTTTTATAATTATTTCAAGTACATACCATTTAAAATATTAGTTACTTCCTCTTCAGATTCATCTTCAGATTCATCGTCAAACTCTTGGTCTTCTGTATTTTCGTTAAATATCTTTACCATTTTTACAATGTTGGCACCATTATCACATGTTATAGAGTACACTTGGCGCTTATTAATGTCATATTTCTTTAAGATATTTAATAGCTGGCAAACACACAAAAAGAAAAAGAAATACACAATTCATTAGTTTAAAATAAATATTTTAGGAAGTAATAATTTGACTTGAAATTAATTTACATAAATTCAAATTAATTATACATACTATTTCCTTTAAGTAGTCAGAAGAATGTCGACTCAAAAGTTCCGGCATCCCTAGGGTTTTGATGTGTAATTTGCCATCCTTAATGTACTGAACATTAACACCAAGGATGGATCGATTTAGTCTTGTAACACAATCTACTTTTAAGGAAATTAGCTTTCCAATAACATCATATTTAATGTTTTTTACAATATTCTCTGCTTGTGTATCAACATATTGCTTAATATTTTGAGAATTAATTCTGAAACCTAAAATATGTATAGGTAAGAGCTATAACTTCATTAAAACTTAGACAAGTATAAAATTGCTTTTTATTTTTATGTTTTCTAAATAGGTTAATAGGTACAACAATGACTTATGTCTGGTGAATCATTTTTTTTCATCAATCATGATAACAAATTAAAATACAAATAAATTATTTTACCAAGTACCTACCAATACTAATATAACTACCTAAATGGCTAAATATAAAGTATACATTTTAATATTATATACATACCACCACCGATAGAGTTCATGATTGGATCCATTATCATTCTGAAGCCAGTATCGTTTAAAAGTGTAAAAGGCCTTCCATTTGTTGTAACTAGCTGAACACAAGCTTCAATGATATTCTTTTTATTTAATTTAACATTTGTTAGTGTTGTTTTAGTTACACAAATCATTTTGTCCAATGGTCCATATTTTTGCTTCTATTAACGCAACAATAATACTAATTAATTTTTTTAAATAGGCATATGTATAGGTAATACAAATCAATTTCAAGAAATTATGTAAAATATAAATTAGGTGCCTAGGTATCTAAATTATTCTTAATGATATAATATAATCTATAAAGACTATCCAATTTAATTTAAATTATAATATTACCTAATATTATACCTATAGGGAACATAATATGATATATTATATACCTACCTAAACATTTCATCGCCACATAAGTAAACTATGATGTAATAATTGACAATAATGACTAACCTTTACAATGCTCGATGAAGGTTCATATTCATTATGACAGGATGATGATACTTTTGACTTTTCTTTTAAAAGTTCTTTATATTCATTTTGGTGGAATGCCTTGACATGATTTTCCAAATTCCCTGCATGACATCCACTGCGTACAGGATGTGGACAATCCAAAATTGTGCAAGTGCTTGTATTAGTTGACACATTGTACACAAAATACATGCGTAGGACGGGATTTGTAATTTTCCTACCCATATTTAATGAATAATGATCAATAATTATTTCTTAAATCGTTTTCGTAGTACGTTACCTAAGAAAAGTAGATAATAATCATGATTTTATTTAAAAAACAATGAAAAGTAAAACTAAATAATGAAGTGTGTAATATAGGTACTTACCTACTATGAAATAATATATTCAATATTGATTATTGGCCAATTCTAAATGAAATATTGTTGGTTAAAATAAACTATTAACTATTAAGTAGGTATACACCATAGACGATTCGACGAAAGGTAGTATGTATATAATTTGACGACAAATCTACAACTAACTAAACAACAATAGCAACTTGAAATTATATCAAATTATTTATTATAGGTACTCCAAATAACACGCCCGCATTCAATATTTATAAATAAACCTGCGATAAAATAATTCGGAAAATATAAATTATTGTCAACACAGGTTAGCCAACTTTGAATTGTTCATAACTATAAGATTAAAAAAAAAAAAAATTATATTGGGCTCAATGTAAAAAAAAAATCACAAACGTTATTTAAAATAACGTTATTTGCAATTTTTTTACGTTACAAATACGTTTATTGTTTATTTTTAATCATGAATTATGATTAATGATATATTATGTTTAATGTTATTCGATTTTTTTCGTTTTTCGTTTATTGATTTCGTTTATGTTTTTTCATTTTTTTTCCGTTATAGCGTTATAAATTATAACGTTATAATAACGTTTTGAAGCCCTGTTTGTACTAATACTATGCATTTACTTGTATACTAAATTTTACTCTAGAAATAACGTTATTATTAGTTAATTTAAATATTTAATATGATTCATCAAAGGTTAAAGACTCTATGTAACGTAATAATATTCAGAAAAGAAACAAAATATATTTATGATTCGTGTATTTTCGTGGTCAATGATTTGGTCCTTGATAAAAAAAAATGTAGGTGTGGAGATCCTTCGCATATTCTGTTGGTAACCCGCAACTACCATGGTATACAATTACTGAAGATATTCCACATAATACCTATAGGTACCTACTGACGGGACTTAACGAGATAAAAAAAACGAATTTATTTTTATAATGGAACACCTATTATACTGACGCAAACCTCGATGATGGTAGTGAACAATGATAGCTTTTTTACTTCCAATATTTCAAATATTATGACGTTCGGCGCGTGGGTGCGAACGGTCAAAAACATATTGTACCTATATTGTGTACGAAGACACGTGGGTGGTGAAATCGGCTCGGCGTGGCGACCGGTGGACTTGTATGCAGGTATTGTGTCCGTTGGAATTTCAACGAAAATTATACTATCAAATGCTCGTATCATTTGCATACCAGGCGGCTGAATAAAAAAAAATACCACACTAGATGGGTATGTACCTACTTGAAAAGCGGCTATTTTAAATTTAAATAAAAATAAATAAATAACCAAGATGAAAGTTTTACGCTTGTCCAGTATATCTGCGAGTAATCATAAAAGTATCTATAAATATATAATAGAATTTTGTTAACATTGTACACAATATAGCTAGTCACTGTCCACTGATTATAAATTATTCGTATTATAAATACTCGCTATCGCACTATTCTGTTGAAAATGGTATTTATTCGGTCTGTTTACATAATAATGCAAATTACAAACACAATCGTATAGGTATGTCGTCAGATACTTTTACTTTTTAAAGTCGTCGCCATTAGATATTTACTATTCGTATATAAAATGAAAATTCTGTTAAAATAATGTAGATATTCTATATCATAAACCGTATTAGCGATTATATAGTACCTTTAGTACCACTAGACCGGATAGGCTAGCCGGAAAAATTAGGTCTGTTCACTTGGCCAGTGTAAAATGCAATTTAATTCTGCATGTTACATAAATAATGTTCATTACACGATTACACAGTTATTATATAAAATAAGCCATAAGGTATATCTTACGGCTTCCAATGTCATTATGTTTGGTTTGCAGGTATTGTACAGAAAATATTTTCCATTTTTCGGCATAGAATATAAATTATCTAGTAATCCTCAAATACTTAATTCCGTGGCGCCAATACATAATATTCCGGCACTACTTTCGTCCTGTCTACATAATATAAACACTGCAGTCAACTGTCGATTGAGGTGTGTGTATAGGTAACCATCGCCGATACAACACGCAGCTTAGCGGATTAACATTAAAATGATTTATATATTTTAATATGTTTAATATTTTTTTCAAGCGGTCCTTCTCGTGTCGGGCTGACGTGTAAATCAGTGGGCGGTTAACACTGTTTTAAGTTTTGAATTAGCTTCTGTCACAACATTGTATAAATAATATGGCGCCACTGCAGGTTATTAAATGTATATTAGTTTATTTATACGTATATTGGCATAGTCCGCACAAACAAACAGTTTGGCTATATATTATGTATGTTGTGTATTGATTAAAAGAGAACTGATATAATTTATACAAATCTTCTACCTCGCATATACCACGCTAAACAGAATATTATGACGAATTTGTTTTTCTAATATAAGTTATGAAAGAAACTTCACGATGTAAATATAATATAACATGGCTATATGGTTGACGTCATAAAATACTAATAGCATTCTGACAACTGATTATTTTAACTCGGAAACCAGTAGAGCACCCCACACATAAAATGAACTTCAATTGCGCAGTTCTGAAATAACCAACTGGCTGGTTTCACTATTTGGTTTCCTACATTAATATAATATTTAAATATTGCTGAACAATGAAAAGTGTCAAGAGACTGCATCGAACAAATACAATTTAAATGTTAAAAATTAGAGTAAAATCTATAAGTATTTTATCTATATGAAAACTGAAAACGATGCTTATAAATGTTGTTGATAAAAAAAAAATAATAAATACCTATTAAAGATATTAAATAACTATAATAGTCACAAGTCATATAACAATACTTTGATAAAAATTAAAAAGTATTGCAAAAGTGACCAAAACATTCAATCGGTATCAATATTTTGTTTAATCCTAAAAAAAATATAAACGTGCTTCTAAATATGATTCAGATTTTACAGTCGAATTTAAATCTAAGTCGTACTACGTGACATTGGTAGTAAATAGAATGAATAGGAGTACTATTACATGTTAGGTACATTGGGAGTGGAGACTCGCGTTTCGCGTGATCCTACAAACCCGGTTTTCTCTTATTGATTTTAAACGTTCGTGGCGAACCACATTAGAACGAGCAATACGGCTACTGCGGTTTACGATCAATTGGAGTACATAAAAATGTGTTATTTTTTATTGATTTAAAATGTGTTCCTATGTTTTATTGATGACTTGGATAATAAACTGAAAACGTGGGTGAACCAATGGCCTAAACCAGTTAAACCACGAAAAAAACAACAAAAATTAAAGTTTTACGGGACTTGTGAACGCGATTTAACTGGAGGTTCTATTATATTATTTGTGCATTTTTTCAACAATTCAATTTAAAAAGAAAAAACCTTTCAGAAATGTCCGCTTCACGTCTACATAACACTCTTTATAATATGTCTGACGTTTATAAAACACAAATGGTTGAAATGATACCAATTACAATACTGCGATAATAATAATGGGCCCCAAAGTGACAAGAACCTCGAGCTGTATATAGTAGAAGATACCACCGTATAGTGTTCGTTTTTTAGAAATTATATTTTTTTTCACGCGTTTATTATATTATATTATACTAACGACGAAATGAGAATACGACACGCAATTCCTATATCAGAAAAATAGAAAGAAAGTTACTAACCTATACTATCGATCGCGAAAAACGTGCACGTGGAGTACGTGACGAAAATATTGTAAACGTTTTTTTTTTTTTTTGTTAATTTTATAAACTTCCTGTTCAGGTTATTATAATATTATTATAAAGGTATGTTACCGTCATAATGTCTGGGAAAGTGCAAGTACAGAACGTTTTTTATACCTAGGACTTGTGTTTATACGTATACTTATTAAGTAGTTCTCTAAGTGTGATATTTACTAACCAAAATCCAAGTTATATATAAAAAAAACATCTACAATATTATATTATTTACCTCGAGAGCAGTAAAACTTTGTACTTATTTTAGTTTTTGTTTATGAGCGATACAATTGTTGTTTTGAGGTAAATCAAATTTAAAATTTAACACAACATCCCATTTGAGTTTTTCTTACAATAATAAATTATAAAAAGAAAATAATTGAGAGCAATTCCAGAAATATTTTATATGACAAAATAAGTGTTCATGTTACCTCCATTTTAAAAAATATAGCGCCGTACGAGGCTTGCGTGACGACCGCGATGACGAGTGACGACGGATAATAAAGGGAGGTTAACTCAACCTAACCTGGCGTTTATTATTTAAAAGCACTTTGTATGAATTGTGTAAATGTAATTGGTTTCTTCGACACTTATTTATAATATTTTTTATTTACGGTATATGTACAATATATACATACCTAAATAATATTATGTAGGTTTTATATTATTTTATTAACATATTTAGAAAATCCAATCACGTGACATAATATAAAATATTAATTGTAATGTCTGGTTGCATAAACAATCACTAAATGTTGAATGAATCAATAGAGTTAAATAATGGTCCTTTAAACATGATTTAGTGGCCCGTGATTGGATCGTTAAATTTTAGTGAACTATTAAATTAATCAAATTTGTATGCAACCCTGCATAGGTTTTATTTAGGAATTTTTGTCACTTAGTATAATTTATATATATAATAAATAATCATCTATAGATCCGTTCTAAATAGATCACGTATACTAGATCTGCAGCGTAAGTACATTATTATTTTAGCTGACAACGGTATAATTAGGTGGGGTGCGGGTTTAGCGGTTTGTCTCGAATTCTAGACGTTTGTTTATCTTTATATACTGATCGAGATAACATGCGATTGGATTTATATTATAATTACAATTAAATAATTCAGCGTTTGTGTTTCAGGCAACTTAAACAAGGCTCAACACAAAAAAATTAT